AGGGATTCTGTAAGGTACATAAGATTGTGTTATTATAGGCATTTATAGAATAAAATGTTTAAGATATAAATATATAAATAAGTATTAATAGGTACGATTAAAATTTTTCTTCTTCTCTTTATATAATATATTGTGTGACTTTAGGATATGCTAAACAGAATCCCAATACAAGTTATGTGTGATATTAAGTATTATCAGGTTAGGGGAAAGAGTTAAAGGCGTCATACTCTAATTAGTGTACAGGAGAGGTTTTGTTTAAAGAGAAAAAATGAATGGATAGTTGAGAACAGACAAAGAATGTTAAGTATTATGACTTGAACTGAGATGAGTAGAATAAAATTAAGAGAGTTAAAAAAAGGAAGAAGCTATATAGAAAATGGAAAACGGTAATAAGATATGGAATGATATATAAAAGGAACATGATTTTTGAAGAGGTGTTTGTATGATGAGTTTTAACCCGGGATCAAGCAACTTTCAGAAAAGATGTTTATGTTTTTATGTTTTATGTCTTGTTTTTTTTTTTTTATTGGAAGAGAATAATGAAAACGTATAAGACAGATGGATATAAAAAATGTATACAATCTAAAGTTAAAGAGATATAATTTGAATAAATAGAAGGAAAAGAAGTAATAAAGAGAAGTTTGGGATAAGATATGAAGATGAACAGATAAGGTAAATATATATATCAAATTGTGCTTGTTTGGAAATGTGATAACTTGGAATAATTCTGTCTTTAAATAAGTTGTTGTATTGGCTTTTTAAGAAAAAAAAAATTCCTATGTCATTATATTTTATGTTTTGTTTGTCTGTGTATTGTTTTGGAAAATCAATAAAATTTGTTCAAAAAAAAAATTTATGCCACCCGATAAAGATTGAATGCACCAATTATCACATTAAACAAGAAGAAAACCTTCTATGCACCAATTCCACACATGCTTTCTACAATTTTGTAAACAACAAACTAAAAGACTCAAGGTCCATCCCACCCCTGAAAGGACCTAATGGTAAAGACTGCAATGACGACACTATTAAAGCCAACCTCTTTAACACATTCTTTGGCTCAGTATTTGTAAACAGCAATGGATCATGCCCAGTATTTCCTAGTCGAACCACAGGCAACTACAATGATCCAATACATATCGATTTCACAGAAGACAACATTGAAAAAGCACTACGCAATCTAAAACCATCCCTATATATTGGACCGGATGGAATATGTGCCTACTTCTTTAAAAAGCTATCCACTGCCATAGCCGAACCTCTAAGCATAATCTTTGAAAAATCATTCAGGACTAGCTCCTTGCCAAACCTATGGTCTCAAGCCATGGTCATCCCCATCTTCAAAAAGGGAGACCCAAGCCTAGTTGAAAATTACAGATCAATCTCTTTATGCTGCGTCACCTGTAAAGTCATGGAATCAATTATTAACCAATCCACCATCCTCCACTTGGAAACAAACAACCTACTCTCTAATAAACAATTTGGTTTCAGGAAAAAATGATCATGTAATCTGCAATTCTTACAATGTAAAAACATATGGACTACATAACTCGATCAGGGCAAAGCAATAGATGCAATCTACATAGACTTCTGTAAAGGCTTTGATTCAGTGGTACATGACAAACTACTCCTAAAACTAAAATCTTACGGTATCTCTGGACACCTGCATAACTGGATAGAAGCATTTCTGTAAAACAGACTACAAATGGTCTAAATTGGGAGCGTCCTATCAAATTCTGTACCTATCAACAGTGGTGTCCCCCAAGGCAGTGTTTTAGGACCAACTCTTTACATACTCTACATAAATGACCTCTGTGATCATATCAAGAGCAACTGCATTCTCTTCGCTGATGATGTAAAGCTATTCAATACCACAGACAGTACTGCTACCCTTCAAAAGGAATGGTCAAACAAATGGCAACTTCAAATCTCAACAAATAAATGCTCTGTCTTACATATTGGCAAAAAAAATCAGAAAATAAAATACAGGCTGAATAGTTAAGACCTTGTTGATGATCCAAACTCTGTCAAGGATCTTGGAGTACTCTTCTCTAATGACCTAAATGCTAGAGCCCACTGTAACTACATAGCCAAAAAGGCATTAAGAGTTGTTAACCTAATCTTACGTAGCTTTTTCTCTGGTAATATTACACTAATAACTGGAGCATACAAAGCATTTGCAAGACCAATTCTCAAATACAGCTCATCAGTCTGGAACCCACATTACGTTTCTGATATTAACACAGTGGAGAAAGTCCAGAAATATTTCACAAGAAGAGTTCTCCACTCCTCTACTCATTGCAGAATACCTTAGGCCACCAGACTCGAAATTCTAGACCTAGAAAACCTAGAACTACGCCACCTTCAGTTGGATCCAAGTATAGTGTATAAAATCATACATTGCATTGTCCTACCTGTCAATGAATACTTCAGCTTCAACCATAACAACACAAGAGCAAACAATAGATACAAACTCAAGGTTAATCGCAACAAACTTGATTGCAGGAAATACAACTTCAGCAATAGAGTGGTCAATGTTTGGAATACTCTAACTCAGTGGCCCCCAACCTTTTTTGTGCCGCGGCCCGGTACCGGCATCACAAAATCATCCGCGGCCCGGTACCGGCATCAGCATGCATGGCAAGGCGAGCCGAGCGACCGGCCAGCCAGCCGTCCCCCACTTCTCCCCGCCACCTTCAACTCCTCCTTTGTACCTGTGTCGATGGGCTTTGGGACGGTTTTGGGATGGTCGCTCGGCTCGCCTTGCCATGCGTGCTGAAAGAATCCTCGTGCCTTAGTTTTGTTCGAAGACCCCCCCCCGATGAAACTAAGGCGCGAGAATTCTTTCAGCACCCAAATGCCACTTTCTACCTGGAAAAGCTCACCGGAAGCACTTTTTCATCAAAACAAGATGGCGGTGCCCAGCAAACCAGCGGCCCGGTAGAAATTGTTCCACGGACTGGTACCGGTCCGGGGACCGGTGGTTGGGGACCCCTGCTCTGATTCTGTGGTTTCTTCCCCAAACCCCCAAAAACTTTAACCTTAGACTGTCTGCTATTGATCTCACCCCTTTCCTAAGAGGTCTGTGGGAGGGATGCATAAGCGCACGTGCCTACCGTCCCTGTCCTATTGTTTCTTTTATTTTTATTTTTTATTTTTCTTATATGTATCCATGTATTCATAACTATGTTTTTACTTATACGTATTATTTTGTAAGCAAATGACAAAAATAAATAAATAAAATAAATCTCATAACTGGGAGGGGAAAATGGCTAATTTTAAAACAATTGGAAGCTAATTGTTCATATTTCTATCTCAAACAATAATTAGCCATCAGCTAAACATCAGGTGTTAGAAAGATACAAATTAAAATAATAACTGGCCATTTGAAGATATGTGGACTTCAGCTCCCAGAATTCCCCAGCCAGCATAGCAGAAATAGCATTACATGTTAAGGGTTAGAGAGTCCACATAGCCGGCTAGGGGATTCTGGTTCTAGTTCTCCCATCTTGGCTCAAAAGCTTCTAATATTATCATGGACAAGATATTTTCCCTTGTTCCACTTTTAAAATCTTTATGCTTGTTCACGTTACTGTAGCCAGGAATGAATGAGGAATGCTTGAATGCCCTTCAGATGCTGAGGTCAGCTCAAAAAAAAAATACTCCAGCATGCATTTAAAAACTTATGATTTACAGTGCATATGGCAGTGGGAAATAGAAAGGTTATTTTTAAAAGGAACATTTCCAAAGATTATCAATGCATGAAAATTCTGGACAAAAGAGATACAAATTTTATATGGATTTTCTTTAGTCAAATCCTTAAAGTGATTTGGAAGTGGGACCAAATGACAAATGTTATGAAATTGATTGATTTGTCCACTGAAGGATAATTTCTCCCAAATTTTAGAAATTATAACAAGAATGCTAGAATATTGTTATTTAGTAATGCACTCATTATTAACACAGTAGTAGATTTTTATTATGTTTCTTTTAATCAATTTTTCCTATTCTAGCAATACTCTACCCTCCTATCAACTATATAGGTATTCCTTGTGTTACTATGGCAGTTGGGACTCAAATTTCCATCACTGAGCGATGTGATTGTAAGATGCAATGTTATATGACTGCATTGCTTAATAACAACAATCCCAATTACTGTCATGACCCCAGACCCATTTGGGTTGTTAAGTGGAAAGAGGCAGAAAACACAGAAAAGCAGGCTAGTGGGTGAATGTGTAGGTAATACAGGATGGTAAGGATGTGCTAGACATGGTTGCTATAGAGTACAGGTGAGTACGTGGGGGTAGGGTGGAATGCTGTACACCTCCCTTCCCATACTGTCAATGGGGAGTGGGGGTGCTGCAGGCAGATAGTATGGATTGCAGGCAGACAAAAAAAAAGAGTTACTTCTGACTTCCTGCCAGCTTTTCTGTTGACTTTGCTTCTGGAAAGCTGGCAGGGAACGTTAGAAATCACAATCAGGTGACCACGGCTCATTGTAGTGTCATAACCATGAACTGGGGACAGAACAATAGCAATACCACTTAGATTTATATACCGCTTTATAGTGCTTTATAGTGCCCCCTCTAAGGGATTAACAGGGTCAGCATATTTTCCTCAGCAATCTAGGTCCTCATTTTACCGACCTCAGAGGAATGGAAGGCTGCATCAACCTTCAGCTGGTGAGGATCGAACTGCTGGCTGTGGGCCGAATTAGCCTGCACGACTGCATTCTAACCACTGAGCCACCAGAGTCCCAGATTCGTGCAATCATGTTATTGCAAGGACATTGCAATGGCTGGAACTGTGGAAATCACTGGAACTGTGAGGCTTGGTTATAAGTCCCCACATTCAGTGCTACTTGAATGATCACTGAATGAGTGGACTTAACTTGAGTTCTATTTATATGTGGGAAGATATAATTACATATTGTGACACATAATTCCTATAATATATCATATGATAAGTAAATGTATAATTCTCTGTGTAAGGAGCATTACCTCTTCTTTCACTGAGAATATTTCTTGAGGATTGCAGCTTCAGTTGCCATTTCTTCCTCAGATCTCCATTTGCTGGGGGAATCTTCCGCCTCTTTGTCATGGCGCTGAAGCTTGGTCGGAAAGAAGAGAGGGTTATTCTTTTGAGAGAGAAGTAATTGAAGCAATGAATGTTATGATCATAAAGAGTGGCGTTTTTATCCTGTTCTTTGATTCCAATAATTTATTTCTGATTTTGGATTAATTGGGAAGCTTTCAAATCCTGGAACTTCATTGTCTCAACTTCCTCAGCTTTTAGTTCCTCCACTTCATTTATCTTATACGCAAACATATATGTATACAGGTACACAAGGCTTTATGTAAAGGAAGAACCAGGAGACAAAACCAAAAGCCAGTATATACCTAGCATTTCTGTAATACAGAGGGAGAAACAGTGAATATTTCCTGATGTATCTATTCCAGAAAGAAGACCAGACACCTCAGAAATCTAATACAATTCAGGCAAGGAGAACTTCAGAAGCATCTCCATGTGTGACATGATCAATGTATCTTAAAGCAACCAGAAGGATCATAGGAGAAACCATTTTCTAGGAGAAGCTTTCTCTGACGGTGGGTCTTAACCTCATTCCAGGCTGAGGCTTACAATTTAATAACGCTTTTGTTATAGGTCAAATGTGGTCAGCCTATTACAGTTGAATCAGATAGGTGGAGGACTGGAAATAAAATAAATGAATTGTGAGAAAGAGAGACTGAAATCATCCTTGTTGAGAAAAACTCATCCCCAAAGAGGGGGAGAAAGGATTTTTTTAAAAAGGAAAGGGCGGTGGAAGCAGTAACAGTTTATATTTCATGTTCACTCAGATGTAGATCTCACTCATTCCAGCATTCAGTGTTAGTGGATTTTACTCCTTGTAAATGTGTTTTAGAGTGTAGCCTTCAATAACTATCATATTATAGCATTCATTCTTATCCCTCCTAATCTAGGCATTTGTAAGCATATCTGGCCTGGATTTTTAGTGTCTGAAACAAATAACAGAATAACAGAGTTGGAAGGGACCTTGGAGGTCTTCTAGTCCAACCCCCTGCTCAAACAGAAGATCCTATACCATTTCAGACAAATGGTTGTCCAATCTCTTCTTAGAAACTTCCAGTGTTGGAGCATTCACAACTTCTGGAGGCAAGTTGTTCCACTTATTCATTGTTCAAATGGTCAGGAAATTTCTTTTTAGTTATAGATTGGATCTCTCCTAGATTAGTTTCTATCCATTGCTTTTTGTCCTGATTTCAGATGCTTTGGAGAATAAATTGATCTTCTCTTCTTTATGGCAGCCCCTTAGATATTGGAACACTGCTATCATGTCACCCCTAGTCCTTCTCCCTGTCTCCTTCCATGCAGAGGAGAAAATTGACCAAAGCAGCATTTCTAATCTCATCTAGATAGCGTTTCTCAAATTTGGCAACTTAATTTCCCATGTAGGCTAGGGCATTCTGGTAGTTGAAGTCCACACATCTTAAAGTTGTCAAGTTTTAAAACACTGGTTAAGTTGGATGGTTGGGTTTGAGGAGCTACCTATCATCGACAATTCTCACAACCTCCTATAGCATTCGATATGACTTTGCTCAATAGACTTATGGAAAATTTATAACTGTGGCCAGGAACACCCTTTAGAAAAAGCAGATCCTTTGCCAAGGAGCTTCTAAATCTGTGCCTCCATGTTGCATTGCACTCAGACGCACCAAGAGGTTCTGCGTTGAAATGATTAGCCGGTGACATTACCGTTGCCTGGGAGATGCCCAGTTGGGGGTTTCTGTCATGTCACTAGCAGGATCTGGAGCAAAGGACGGGAGCTCACATAACCCCGTGGCAGCAGTCGGGTTTCAAATGTGGGCTTACTAACCTCCAACTCGGCATCCTAACCACGCAAGCCACCATGCTCCTTGATTCCATGTTATTTCCTCTAATTGTACACTTCCACTGTGCAAGTGCTTGTCAAATCCAGGGCAAGCTGTTGATTTGGGAGATGACAATAACTTTGTATATTTTTGAACCAGGACTTTCTTGCCTCAAAGTGAAAGAAAGAGTGAGATTGCTTTGTGTGGATGAGTTAATGAATGACATATTGAACTTCCCTCAAGCTCTATTGCAACAATGACAACGACAACAATCTGCCATGCCAGAGTATTATCCGCTTTAATAAAACAACTTAAAACCAGGCTGTCAGCTTTGCTGGCAACTTCACACTGGGGAGTGGGCGGCGGGGACATGGAAGGGAGGAAGTGAATCCTTTTTTCCCCAAAGAGAAATATTCTGTTTACAAGTGATCAGAAATGACAGTTGGTGCTTATTGGTGGAAGAGCTTTTTCTGCTTGGAGTGAAACAGGAGGATAATTTATCAGGAAAGCTGGGAAGCCAGACATCTGTAATGATCTGCTTTAAGAAAGGAAGATTTTAGAAGAATATTTGTACCACACAATAAGGATTTAGAGCAAGATGGCAGTAGGTTTTTTTTTCTTTTTTTTGGTTTAAATCTGCCTTGATGCTGAGCAATGTGTGATTTTTTTTTTCTTGGCAATTTAGATTTCCAAAGCTGAAATAACATCATCTAGAATGGCTAGGGGTTTTAATTAATTTCTAACAGCACCACAGGTCAAAGTTCTCTTATATTTACCCTTGCTTTAAAGATCCTTAAAACAGTGCTGTGATCTTAGAGTTGTTTTTACTAACAGTTGCTTTTTAGAACGACTGGGTGCATTGCACACAGATGCCTCGAGTTTCTTTTCCCAGCATTTCCTCTTTTCTGTCCTGTATCTGCTTTAAGATGAAGACGGGCATCTCAAACACCTCTCAAATTGAGTGAGGTGTTCATTGAAGAAGCTAGAAATGGATAATTATGTCAAAGAAATCAGACAAAGGCAACATTCCAGAGATTAGGTTACAAAACTAAGCTGAAGAATCAATTGTCCTCCTTACAGAGTAGTTGTAGCTTCATCAAAGATCGAATTCATTTAAAGGTTAACAGCAGCATTATGAAAAGATAAATTATCTTGGGCTTAGATTTTAACTTTCAAAACACAGTACGCTCCCCCTCCCCTTTTTTTTACAAAAAGAAAAAGGCCATTTTCATCTTCCCAGATTTCCAAAACTGAGATGAGGGATTTGAAAATACCATTAACGTGCATTACCATGTGTTTTGTTCCACTAAGTTAAAACAAGCCAACATATGTCAAATCGCAATTTCCCCAGAACTCTGCTTCCCTTTCTCTACATTGTAAATCTTCCTATAATCACTCTGCAATTGACCCTTAGAAAAGAATTTGGTGGGACTGATGAGATACGTAGTGAATTCTCACGTCTTGTACAGGTAGTCCTTGTCTTACAACTACAATTGAGCCCCCCCACAAAATCTGTTGTTAAGTGAGGCATTCATTAAGTGAGCTTTGCCCCATTTTACGACATTTCTTGCCACAGTTGTTAAATGAATCACTGCAGCTGATAAGTTAGTACCTTGGTTGGTAAGTGAATCTGGCTTCCCCTTTTACTTGGCTTGTCAGAAGGGCAGATAACAGATGACAGATAACAGATAATCAGAGTCGGAAGGGACCTTGGAGGTTATCTAGTCCAAACCCCAACCCAAGCGGGAGACCCTATAACATTTCTCACAGGTGGGACTCCAATCTCTTCTTGAAAGTCTCAAGTGACGACGCTCCCACAACTTCCGAGGGCAAGCTGTTCCATTGGTTGATTGTTCTCACTGTCAGAAAGTTTCTCCTCATTTCCAGGTTAAATCTCTCCTTGTTCAGTTTCCATCCATTATTCCTTGTCTGGCCCATAGGCACTTTAGAAAATAGCTTGACCCCTTCCTCTCTGTGACAGCCCCTCAGATATTAGAAGACTGGTATCATGTCTCCCCTGGTCCTTTTGTTTACTAGACTAGCCATGCCCAGTTCCTGGAACCATTCTTCATATGTTTTAGGTCGCAAAAGGGGATCACATGACCTTGGGACACTGCAACTGTCATAAATATGAATCCATTGACAAGCATCTGAATTTTGATCACATGACCATGGGGATGCTGTTGCAACTGTGCGTCTAACTCCTAAGTCACATTTTTCAGTGCTGTTGTAACTTTGAATGGTCACTAAACAAACTGTTGTAAGTTGAGAACTACCTGTATTGCTTATAAACTTAAAAACTCTACAATTTAACCATTTTCTGGAGGAATGATGATTTCCAGTCCAGCCTGGAATGTGGAAGAATCAAATAATGTCTTTCTACAGTTGTATCTATGGTAGCACTAGGACCAAATTTTTGGACTTCATTCATTTTACTGTTTATTAATTTTTGGCCTATAAAAGGCACAGAATTTCTTTATTCTATGATAAACTTTCATGGCTTCCTGGTCTTGGAGTCCTTCAAGATAGGTGGATTTCTACCAATTGCTTTGCCTGTTAAATTGTTTTTAAACTTAATCTGATGATTAGACCAACAATCATCCTTGTTCAGCATATTATTTTTCACAGTAGCCAACCAGATGCCCCTAAGGTGTTTGCAAGCAGAAAACAGAAACACACTTCTGTTCTGTCGTTATTCCCTTGCAACTGGTATATAAAGGCGTACTTCCCCCAATCCAGATGTAACACTGATGCTTAAGATTAATAGCCATAGATAGAACTGTTCACTGTGGATTTATCTAATTCTTTTTCTAAAGCCATCCAAGGTAGTGGCCTACATCACATCAGTCCACAAGTTAATGATGCATTATGAAAACAAGTGCTTTCTTTCATCTGTTTCTTCCAATCAACTTCAAAGAAAGAAGAAGATACGCAGATGCTGTGGTGAATCTATACCTGTAGGGATGCGGTGGCTCAGTGGCTTAGACATTGAGCTTATCAATCAGAAAGGTCAGCAGTTCGAATCCCTGGCACCATGTAACGGAGTGAGCTCCCATTACTTGTCCCAGCTCCTGCCAACCTAGCAGTTCGAAAGCATGTAAAACAGCATCCCGTGAGCCTTTGGCATTTAGTCACGCTGGCCACATGACCACGGAGACGTCTTTGGACAGCATTGGCTCTTCAGCTTTGTAACGGAGATGAGCACTGCCCCCTAGAGCCA